ATTATAAACTTCATAAAGATCACATGTCATAAGGGAGAAGACATTGGAAAAGTTCTAGAAGTGTGTTTGAACCAATGGAGGATAGAGACGATCTTTAGCATGGGGGAAACTTCTATTTGTTTTGGTTCGTAGCTTCTATTTGGATTGTAAACTTAATTTTCATCATGAATCTTGATGCATCATTTGAATTATTGTGTGTGTGAATTGTGAATGATGAATAATAGATGAATTTAGGCTACAAAGTATTAGATAAAGGTACAATAAAAAAGTTTTGCACTTGAATTGGGTTAAAAAAGCCAAAACAAATTTTGTCCCAAAACAAAGTGACAATTACCATTGCCATACCATGCCAACCGAACATTTGGCAATACCGAACTTCGGTATACCGAAAGTTTGGTATGGTATTGGTAATAGATTTTACCAAACCGAAAGTTTGGTACGGTAATTGGTACGAGGGTTTTGGTAGGGTAACCGTACCGAACCCACCCTAAATATAGGTATGAAATTCGTTTGCAACTTCAGTCTCCTTCATTAGCTCTAACTATTTCCCAAACGACAATAAAATTGGTGTCGTCCACACCTATCCACCCGCCCCGTCTCTCCAGTCGCTACATAGGTTTTAGCAGAAATCAAGCAGCTCCATCTTCTTCTAAGAAATGGCGTCCAAAACCCTAATTCGAACCGGAGCTTCCCTCGTGAACCGGTTCGTATCCAAGCCATTGCTCCACCCGAACCCGAATCCGAATCGCCATATTGTATCTCACGGCCTCGGAATCACTCCCAAGCTGTTCCCGTCTCTCTCCCACTACGACACCTCCCTCCGTTTTCCCCAAAACGATGCCGAATCGCTGAAACGGGTCTCCTCTGAAGGGTTTTGGTACCCCTGCGGCCTCCCTTATCTTCCGTTGTACTTACCTGACGGTACTCTCTCTCACTCTCTCATCATCGGTTTCTGCTAATTTTGGATTTTTGTACGGGAAATTTGTACTTTTTTGTTCATTATTTTGAATTAATGGACTGTTTGGTTGCTGAGAAAATGTTGGAAAATACTAGAATCAGCAGTTTCGTTCTACGGTGCGCATTTCAGGACTGTACAAAGTAGAGAGATTTATTTGGAGTGTAAATATTTACACTTATAGTGAGGAGTGGGTGGTTGACCTTAATTTGGGAAATGAAGTGAATCTTAATGAGAATTTTGATTGGCTTTGTTCATAGTTTTTGGTTTTTCGTTTTGAACAGAATTAAGCATTTCAGTAGAATTATGTCATATTCCCCGAGTTGTATATGAGCATATAAACATTGTTTAGCTTCTAAGCATGTCCTTCACTGGCACCTTTCATACCTCTAAATTGTGCGTGCCTGGATGCTTTGACTTCATAGATTTTGGGGTGTTGGGGATCTGAAACTTAGGTAGTCACGTAAGCTTGGCCTGTAGTCACTTTATGGATATTGTTCTTGAAGTCCTAATGGACATCTAACAAACATTTTGTTCTGCAACTGGCATTTTACGATTTTAGGCACGCAACTATATTTTACGTTTTTAGGCACTCAAGTATATTTCTTTGTCATTTTTTTTCAAACTTTTGCAAAATGATGGAAATCATTGGTATTCGATCATGACCATCACATATAGAGTGAATAGTTGCTTAAAGTCGTTAGATTGGGTTCAATCATGTACAATAATTGACCAGCAAGAACAGCCTTCAAATCGACATATTTTGGTAATGCTAATGCTGGGCAGAAGCAAGTTTCTTTCTGAAATCTATGATGTTTTTTTTTGGTAGAAAAATTGCAGAGAGAATATTATTGTAATAGGTTAAGAAATGTCTGTGTCAAATTATATAGCTCAGAAGTTATTTGTGCAAAAATCTCTATTTCATGTCCTTTACTGTTTTCCCCTGTTAGAATTGTAGTTGTTATTGGAGAATGGGAACCCAACTTCTGATGTTTTAAATACCCAAAGAAACCAAAAAGAAAAGATTTTTGTCCAAAAGGCAATGCCTGCGAAGTATGCCGACAGTGTAAAACTTAACATGTAATATTGACAGCAACTCCATTTTGTTCCTTTCAGTCATAATCATATATGTTTTATTCCTCAGGAGATGAATCTTCATCAACAGAGCCAATGCTATTATTTCCAAAGCGAACCTTCCAGCCTAGTACCATCCGGCGGAAGAGGAACCATGGATTTTTTGCTCGGTCTCTCTCTCTCTCTCTCTCTCTCTCTCTCACACACATATTTAGTTATCTGGATAAAGGATAATCAAAGTTAACCATGGCCATTACTGTCATTGAACCTGTATACACTTTTCATTGTAAATGCTAGTTTTGCTTTTCAATGTAAATGCTAGTTTTTCTGTCAGATCAACTTATGAGAACGCTTACTTTTGTGACTCGTGTTTTCTCGTATTTCAAGCTTCAAATCAACCAGTAATATGTAGATTTTGCATGTGTGACTGACACATTACGACATGAACAGTAAGGCAACCAAGGGTGGACGAAGAGTAATAGCTAGAAGAATAGCAAAGGGTCGAGCAAGGGTCACAGCTTAACATTTCTTTCTCTGGTCTAGTCTTACCTTGGGATCTAGTAGAGAAGTTTGCCTTTGGATCATGGTAATGTTTGGTTTCTTTTGTAGTTGTTTAGCCTTGGAGTGCCGAGGCTTCTTTACCGGAACAAGAATTAGTTTGATGACATTTTTTTCTGGCAACCTTGAAGGTGTCGGCTATTAAATCACGTTCCATGTATTTATGATTGTCACAAATTTCTTGTTATCTCAGAATTTGATAATGTTTGCCAGTTTAGTAGTTGATTTCCTTTTCTGGGTGATTCTGGTTCGGCATTTTGCTGTTTTACGAGGATTCGAACAACACAGCCTTGAAAAACAAGGTCAAGTTTATGAATTCTGGCCTGTTTTCTCATTGTGGGTTACAAAGGGGCATATACACCTAGTAACACGCAAGTTTCTCTCACGATTACATTGTTTAAATTATCATTCACCGGAAGGTTTGCAACAAGTTTCGCTCGTGATTACATTGTTTGTTATAATTATGATTCACTAGAAGGATTATGAAATGTGAGTTTGTCACTCCACGCCAATATAAATTTCATCAAGAAATTATACGATTATTAATTTTGACCAACAAATAATGGAGATGCTAATATTACTAATTTATTAGAATATTAGTAAACCTAAACTTAGTGAAGTTGGCTAGAGTAGTGATTTCTTCTTTATGCACTAAAGTTTGAGTTTTTAGGTAATTTGATTTAATTTTAGTATTAAACATTGTTCATTATCAATTTCCAAATGAACATTTATCATCATCTATATTGGAGACCAAAGCTGGCCCATTTGAACTCGCTTAGGCCATCTCCAACCGAAGGGTCCAGAGGGTCGAAAATAACCCGAAAACCTTCTCCAACCGAGAGCTAGGTCAGAGGGCTCTAGAATCTAGGAGGGCCCCACGGAATCAGAGAGGCTGGAGGGCTGGCTATTTTTTTTTTAATGTTTTGTTATTTCTGTCGGTATAACCGACAGGAATACATGCTATTATTTAATATAAATGTATTACTGTCGGTTATAACCAACATGATTTCTTAAGAAAAAATTCAAATGCAACCGCTAGTAGCCGTTGCATTTGATTTTTTTTTTTACAGTTTTATTATTATTTTTTATTTACAAAATTTTTCATATAACTTCTATTTTTTCCTATAACTTCTATTTCACAAAATTTATTTCATATTTTTTTTAATTCCATTTTTTTCCTATAACTTCTATTTCACATTTATTTCATATCTTTTTATTTCATATTTTTTTTAATTCCATTTTTTTTTAAATTCTATTTTTTTTCCTATAACTTCCTAAGCCAGTATACAACATAAAATTAAATTAAGTAACATGAAACAACATTAAACAATATGAAACAACATTAAATAACATTAACCAACATAAAAATTATACAACATGAAACTTAAACAACATTTTTAAAAACATTTAAAAACATTTTTAAATAATAAATTATGTTTGGCCCTATGGCCCTCAGTTGGAGACGGAGGCAAATATGGTCATGTACTGTTCATTAAAATATTAATATCTTGGAAAATCTTAGAAGGCCAAAGGGCTAAAACGAACCCTCTGACCAACCATCGGTTGGAGATGGCCTTAAAGTACTGCTTCTACAATCAAGACTCGAAAAAGGAAAAGGGATCCGGATCCTTTTCTTTTAATTCATCAAATTAAAGAATCCGTGTCATTAAAAATTGATCCAACAACTGAAGTTATTATAACGTTTAAAGCGGATCTCTGTTTGTAACCGTTGGGTCAAATTTCACTGACACGAATTTCCTAATTTGATAGATTAAAAAGAATGAATCCGAAGATGATCCCTTTATGAGAAAAAGTGCCTTGTCTCATGCATAGGATCCCTTTCCGATATAAAGTGCCTTGTCTCAAGAATCTTTTGTTTGTACGGAAAAGATTAACACTCCTTTTCTTTTCATATACATCTCTGTTTAATTTTATTAGTTATTTTTATTTGATTTATTTGATTTATTTAATCTAATCATTGTAACTAAAGAATATTACGTGAGATGCTCAAAACAATGTGCGAAAATCAACTTCCTAGTACTGCTAGGTGTACCAACAATACTTTGCCTAAATTATTTTTTAAGGTTTGACTAGAAGGCATACTTTTTGTACTTTATCCGGTGTTTTCGGAAACAGTGAAAAAAGATGGACATAATAGGAAAACAATAGGAAAGTGATTTCACATCCGTCTTCTCTTCCTGTACATTACTATTTTTGTTGTTGTCTTTGGACTGGATCAATCAAACATAAAGAAATATATGAGTGTGCAGAAGGAGAAAAGGAAGTGCATATATATTTTCCAAATAATAGTGAAGCAGGCAGGTCCTAGAGTACAGAATAAACGATATTCAAAGAGTATTTTGATAAGAATAAAATTAAGTGAGCAACATGTGAAAGGAGATACAAATTTATGGAGTTTCAACAAACATTACTCCCTAAGGAGCCTGAACTAGCAACATTTAGGTTTTCTGGTAATGAGAATATCATCACCTTATTCAAATGTCAAGATAGAAAGATATGAAAGGGATCCTGGATCCCTTCCTCCTAATCCACCAAATCAGGGAATCCGTACCATTATTTTAATCAACCATACAATTCGCAAATTTAATACTATGTCTAACCAGCTAGGCTTCCCAGCAGCTTGAATGAACATTAAGGTTTGCGACAAATTGGAGGTGACAAGGATGAAGATGCCGGTAGAAGCTACAACGATGATGAAGACGATGGCAACGAGGACATGATTGCCTTAATGCACTCCAACTGGTTGGATGGAAATTGAAGATCTTGAGGGTGAGACCCATGATCAGAAGTAAAACATGATAATTTGGTAAGTGAATCAAGTTCTTGTGTATCAGATGGGTATAGTATTGGCATTCCACAAGCATTACTATCAATGATTTCATAAGCGGCTGGCGCTGACGATGCCATACTAATTGGAACCATGAGCTCATTACCAATATTATTATACTGTGCAGCTGCAGCTTCATTGATGCTGAAATTTTGAACTTGTTGAACATTTGGATCATATTGGCAATGGGGCTGATAGCCTAAAGACCATGATGAGGATTCACATGAGGATGAATTATTTGATGGTAATTGGAAAGGCGGCAAAAAATGATCGACGAAATTGGAAGCGTAACTGGTCTGGTCTAACTTGAGAATGTTATTAAAATCACCATGATAATCGAGACCTAGTGATGGAGTTGGTGATGGAACAATGGGGAGGTATAGCTGGTCTTGTGGTTGAGAACCCAAATTAGGGTTTGTATTGAGAGTGAAGAAACCTTCCTCAGAGCCATGACTTCTAGAGTTGTGAATATGATCACTAGAAAAGGAGGCAAATGCAGGATTAACTTCATGAGGGATGAGCTTCTTTTTTATGCTTGAGTTCCAAAAGTTCTTCACTTCATTATCTGTTCTTCCTGGCAGGTGCTTGGCTATCTGAGCCCATCTGCTTATAATTTACGTATCAAGATTATTACAATTAACATAAAAACATAGAGAGTTGTTACTGGCACTTCAAAAATGTCATCTTGCACTCTTTTAACTTTTACTTGTGTTTTTGTAAATTTAAAGTGCCTAATGACTTTCTTGGACTGTCAATAACAGCTTCCGAAACATACACAATGGTGATGAACTAATATTAAAAAGTTCAAATATTTATACTTGTTGCCTAGAATGCTATGGAGTTCGATGATGAGTGCAGCTTCTTGGGGAGAGAAGCTCCCACGTTTCAAGTCTGGTCTCAAATAATTTGTCCATCTCAGTCTGCAGCTCTTTCCACATCTCTGAAGGCCTGGCCTCATGGAAGCAAATTTAAACACAAAAATTTAAATAAAAAGTTGAAAACTTAGGCAACAAATTGTAATGGGTTAATTAGCAACCAAAATCCCGCACAATCCAAAACATATATATAATGCATAAATGTATATAGATCAATTAATTATTAATAAGATACATGTATATATAGATGTACAGAGAGAAGGAAGAGGGTACCTGCATGTTGAGGAACTGAGCTCCAGCAGCCATGGCCATATGTTGTAATGCAGTTGATGAGTTTTTCATCTTCCTCCGGAGACCATAGCCCCCTCTTCACTTTCTGTTTGCTGCAGCATGAGTGATGTCCCATCTCTCTCTCTCTCTCTCTCTCTCTCTCTCTCTCTCTCTCTCTCTCTCAAAGTAGTATTGCAGCCAAGGCAGAAGAAGATAAAAAGTAAAAAGAGAGATCAATAGAGACAAAGGAAGCTAGCTCTTATGCTCGACCCGTATGATTAAGCAGCAGAGAAAGAGGTAACAAAAAGAAACAGTGAACTGAAAATGTACTAGCTACCTAGCCACAGCTAGGTTCTGATCACTCCGAAAATATGAAGAGATGAGAGAGAAATGGATGCATGACATGAAAGTGTAAGTTCAGTGGGGGTGGTGAATTTAATGTTTGAGAGCAGTACAAGCAATGTATATGGTGGCCCCTGTTAAGGTTTGTCGCAAAGGGCTAAAAGATGCAGCATCTTTCTGTGAGACTTGTCTGGGCTATAGTGGATTAATCCTTTGCTCACTCAGAGATGGGTGGGCACGTACACGTGTCTCACATGCAGGGTGGTGGATCCCTGTCAGTGTATTTGCCAGGTCCCACTCTTGGGAGACTTATCTTTTCCTCAGAGAGGATCAATCTGCAGGTACACAGTTGAATGAAAATGTGACAATTGGTTTAGTTCATTGAGTGATTTGGATTAGGTCTTAGCTGGATTCTTGTGGAAAGTATATTGATATGTTTGGCATGTTTTCTTCTTCATTTTTCCTTTTCTTTTTCTTGTTTGCAATCAAAGATATAAGACATTTGTCAACCCAAGTACACTAAATTATTCGAAGTAGTGCGTTTATTTAAAGAGAGTAGGAATTTGAATAATTTTTTTTGAGTTTTCTTTATATTTTTTTTGCATTTTATTAAACATGAATATGAGAATTACTATGAAGCACGAATACTTCAGTTTGTTCATGTCTCTGGCATTTGATATTTAGTTGGCTGTCGAATATTCTCAGATACTCATCTATACGTATCATGGTCAATAAATACAACTTTGACTTAATAGATACGCATATACTGGATTTGTGACACACCCAGGTTGTTTTTACACTTTCACAGAAGAAACTAAAATAAGAAAATTAATAGGAGACAAAGCTCCTGTTGAAACCTTATGAATATGAAGAGCTTGCCTATACTGAAACTATATGAATACGATTCTCATACTTCTATATATCAATAGATTTAGATTCCAAAACTTTTCTTCTCCAATAAATCAAATAAACTTGAATTTGGATGATGAATGTGAAGTTTTGTGTTATTAAATATGTTTTAAATTTTTGTATTTTTATTGTTATATACTACTTTGGAGAAATTAAGTTCTCATCCCTCATTTTTTTTTAATTTCATTGATTGAAACCTTATTCCTTTTTACAATTTTTTTTGTCGAAAAATGGAATTTTATTAAAGTTTAAATACGAACAGTTACATTTGCATCTTCTGCTAAAATATTAAAGAGAAACTCCGGACCTAGCTCATCCTAGCCAAATCTCCCGCCATGCTTAACTATGTGTAGTGGCGGAGCTAGAAATTCAGAATAGGAGGGGCCTTTAAACCATATGAAAGAAATTAGATAAAATATAGCCATATAGCTAATGAGATAAAACTAAAGGGTTTTTTTGGTAATGGCATGGAAAATTTTAACCAAACAATAGTATAGATCTTTAAAATGTATGTAAAATTTCGTATTGAAATAATTATATCATAAAAACATAACTTGTCACATCCCAACCTGGGCTCCATCACATCCCGGGCTCAATTCTGCCGTAGCACAATATTTTCCGCTTTGAGCCCCGACTACACCCTCACGGTTTTGTTTCTGGAAACTCACACGAAAACTTCCCAGTAGGTCACCCATCATGGGATTGCTCTCACGCAAACTCACTTAACTTCGGAGTTCCGATGAAACCCGAAGCCAGTGAGCTCCCAAAAATCCTCGTGCTAGAGAGAGATGAGAATATACATATAAGGCATAGAGGATCTACTCCCCTGAACGATGTGGAATGTTACATTACTTGTTACGAACTTTGATAAAAATAAAAGTTAACATTAGATTCAAACAAAAATTTAAAATCATGGCTCAAAAGATTGTTTCATATCAACCAGCCAAAAAATGGTTAGTTTTGGTAAGGTGTTTTAGTTTTTTGGTTAAAAAAAAAAAGATAAAGGATGTTAACCTAGCAAGTTCGAACCTATGACGTGCAGGAACATTAAAACCCCAATGACCAATGAGCCACATGCTTTGTTGTTTTAAAACTAGCAGATAAACGTCAAGTGCCACATCAGCCGTGGCCTCTTGTATTTGGATCAAACCCTTTGAATCTCACCTCCAGACTTATCCCAGGCTCCATAACACCACTATCAATAGTCATCTCCATCCTTTGATTTTTGTCCATGTCATTATTTCAATAATAAAAATATTACAAGTCACTAAAGTTTAAGGGAAAATTTAGTAGGACGACACTAATGCCAGCGATGCTTTATGATCTAGAATGTTGGGCGGTCATAAAGCAACACGTGGAAAATGAGTGTAGTAGAGATAAGAATGCTTCGTTGCATATGTGGGCATATGAGAAATGATAGGATTAATAACAATGACATCTGAGGTAAAGTAGGAGTGGCCGCAATTGAAGATATGATGAAAGAAAATCAGTTAAGATGGTTAGACACGTGAACCGAAGACCTACAGATGCTCTGGTTAGAAGATGCAACAATGAGATGGAGACTCAAGGCAAGAAGGTTTGGGGAAGACCTAGAAAGACTTTGAAATAGACTATAAAAAAAATATGGAGTACTTGGAGCTAACAAAAGACTTGGCGCATAAGGATTTAATAATTTTGTTATTAAATTTCTTAACTAATACTAAATTTGACATTTCGTCCTTCAATAAAAATATTCAAATTGATAAAGTCTCACTCTAAGATTTTATTCAATCTAAGATTTTAGTCAATTAGGGACTAAAACCAAAATTTCCCTAAAAGGTATAGGTGAAATTTTGAACGGTTATTTCAATTTTTTTCTTCCAATTCTAAGAAAGAAAAATCTCGAAAAAAATCCGTCAATACATGAGGTGGTGGGTTTGGCTAGGTAACATAATGGAAATGTATCAGGCTGAAGCCTTGGAGGGTTACGTTAAAAGAGCCAAAAGCCCGAGGCTAGGTTACTTTATATTCTCAATTATCATATCTATAGCGTATCGTATCATAATTTTGAGAGATATTTTGCACCGTGGCATCGTGTCATATCGTATCGTTGTATCCTTATTAGTGCTTCATAGGAGAATCATTTCACTTCTTAAAATATGTAATCAAATATCTAGGGAATCAGAAATCAAACTAATGTTACTACTACATATGGAACCATAGATAGTTTCCTTGTTACTTTATATTTTTTTATTGCCATATCTTTAGCGTATCATGTCCTAGTTATCAGAGATTTTTCGTGTTATTGCATTGTGTCGTGTCGTATGTTGTATCCCTATCCGTGCTTCATAGGAGAACATTTTACTTCTTAAAATATGTCATTAAATATTTAGGGAATAAAAAATCAGACCAGTGTTTACTAATACATATGGAACCAAAGTTTCCCTATTACTTTATATTTTAAATATCTTATCTATAGCGTATCGTATAGTAGTTTGAGAGGTTTTTCGTATCGTCGTGTCATATAGTATTGTTGCATCCCTATCTGTGCTTCATAGGAGAATCATTTCACTTCTCAAAATAATACATATGGAATAAAAAAAAAGTGTGAGTTGATCTGATTTGGTTCTCCTATTTTTAAGTTATCTGACTTTCTTCGTTTTTCCATTTTTGTTAAGAAAATCCTAGTTCTCCTATCATGCATGTATGTTTATGTTGAACCTAGAAATTAGAAAGTCTATGTGGCGTGTAGGCAAATAACTATTAAGCTAACTACGTCATTCTTATGAATGCGAGCTTGCCAACTGGCAACTGAGCTCCATCGGACAAGTAAAATGGATGTGGTGGTGTGGTGTCAAATGTGCTGCTAACTTCTACACTTAAGCAACTACTACAAAGGAATGAACGCTCTCGGCTTAGGGTTCTAGAACCTAAAGACAAGGTTATTTATTTCACTGTGAAGTTCAAGATTTTCTGCACCAGGTTTGGCAACTTCAACTATATTCGTGATAACACAGTGCGCTTACTCAATATAAGGTTGTAAAGGAAAAGATACTCAAATGATATGAGCGTCTTTATGATGAACTTCGTTCGGCCATCTAAATGCCGAACTCTGAAGTGCACTTGAGAGTAACCAATCATAGAACACTTTACTTCGCAAGGAAACTAATGAAGTGACCTCGTTCTACGAAAGAATCAAAGACATTTTATCAGCAGAGACTTCGATGGATAACCAATCAATCTCAAAGCAGTGACGGTAATCCAAACTGAAGATGCTTCTTATTCGCATGATTCTGCAACTCCAGTGATGTTAATCCAACTGTGTATGTCGCAATTGTTAACACAGCGTTGTTAATCCAAACTAAAGATTTGCTGACAAAAGGTTAGGATATTAGTGTTTTTCTCAATGGTGTAAGAATGTTTCGCATAGAGTGAGATTTCGCGTTGAACATTTGAGTTTGTGTGTTGAGCTGAAGAGGCTTTTCACATTGCAAAACCACTTCTATTTATAGGGGTGGATTTGGTGATAACTGACCTTGTCGAGGTAAGAGCCTTATAGAACTATGCCTTCTCAGCAATCATCAGGATTTCGTGATAATCAAGCTTGACATTATCTCTTCAGTCTCCTCTTTAACCGAAATCTAATCTCTTACTAGTCTCAACTTCCTTGACTTGAACTAGGATTCTAAACCTAGTCTTTTTCTGCATTTAATTTAGGGTAAAAGACTGTTTACTACCCTCATGTTTCATGGTTTTCAACATTTAGTACATCAAGTTTTTTTCGTCTCAGAGTCATACCTAAATTGTAAATTTTGGGACAATCTCATACATCCGTTAATCAAACTGTTAAATTTGCCGTTAATTGTGACGTGGCGCCCATGTGGACAATGACTGGGTGCCACGTGTCAGCCACGTTTTTTTTTTTTCTTCTTTTCTTCTTCTTCTTCTTCTTCTTCTTCTTCTTCCACCCGACTGCAACATTTTTTTTTTTCCTTCCTCCTTCTCCTTCCTTCCCCTTCTTCTCCTTCTTCCTTCTCTTCCTCCAAATCTGGGGAAGTTTTTTTTTCTTCCTCCTTCTTCCTCCTTCTTCCTTCCTCTTCTTCTTCGTCTTCTTCTTCCTCCGAATCTGCCCAGATTCGGTTTTTTTTTTTTTTTTT